GTAAAGTTGCCCCTAGAATTTTCCTCTAAATCTAGGTGTAATGAGTTCGCACAGTTTTTCGATGAGAAAGTACAAGGAATCAAAAACACTATCACCTCCACAGCACGTATAACAATGCAACAGCCAGAGAAGCTTTCTGAGCTAACTCACTTTGCACCTGTGGATACTGAAACTGTCAAAAAGATAATCATGAGTCTGAGCTCCTCCACATGTAGCCTGGATATATTGCCCTCTAAATTTCTGAAGTCCGTCCTGAGCAGTTTGTTACCTTCACTGACACAAATAGTAAACATGTCTCTGTCGTCAGGAACATTTCCTATGGCCCTAAAAACAGCAGTCATAAGACCTCTCCTAAAAAAGAGCAGTCTGGATCCTGCGGGACTTCAAAATTATCGCCCCATATCGAATCTGCCATTTATTGGAAAAATTCTTGAAAAAGTGGCCTCCCAACAACTTACTGAATTTTTAACAATGAATAATTCTTTTGATATGTTCCAGTCTGGGTTTAGACCCCACCACAGCACTGAGACCGCTCTAGTGAAGGTAACAAACGACATTCGACTTCACACTGATGCAGGTAAAGTCACAGTTTTGGTCATGTTAGATCTTAGTGCCGCGTTCGACACTGTCGACCATGAGATCCTCATGCAGAGACTGGAGGACTGGGCTGGTGTCACTGGCACAGCCCTAGACTGGTTTAGGTCTTACCTGGAGGATAGGAAGTACTCTGTGGAGATTGGAGACTGCGTCTCAGATGATGTGGCCCTGACCTGTGGTGTACCACAGGGGTCGATCCTGGGACCTCTCCTATTTAATCTCTACATGCTGCCGTTAGGTCAGTTAATACAAAGAAACAAAGTGTCCTACCACAATTACGCTGACGACACTCAGATCTATGTCTCACTGACTGCAGGAGAACATGGACCACTGGATTTGCTCCTTCACTGTATCCAACAGATCAGTGACTGGATGCAAAATAATTTCCTCCAGCTAAATACAGACAAAACCGAAATCATTGTCTTTGGTCCCCAGAAACAAAGAGAGGGCGTCATTTGTCAACTTCAGTCTCTCTCCCTACTTCCTTCAGACAAGGTCAGAAATTTGGGGGTAATACTGGACTCAGACCTAAATTTCAATAGCCACATAAAATCAATAACATCAACAGCTTTTTACCATCTGAAGAACATTGCCAAAGTTAGAAATATAGTGTCCAGGGCAGACTTGGAGATTCTTGTCCATGCATTTGTCTCCAGCAGGCTAGACTACTGCAATGGCCTGCTTACAGGTCTGTCCAAACAGACCTGTAAGCAGCTGCAGTACATCCAAAATGCAGCAGCTAGAGTCCTGACAGGAACCAGGAAGTATGACCATATTAGTCCGGTCCTCAGGTCTCTGCACTGGCTTCCTGTGGCTCAAAGAATAGATTTTAAAACGGCTCTGCTTGTGTACAAGTCTCTCCATGGCCTTGCACCAGAATACATTAGTGACATGTTGGTGTCATATGAACCAGCCCGGACTCTGAGGAGCACAGGGACTGGCCTCCTGCTGGTGCCCAGAGTGAGAACCAAACATGGGGAGGCTGCGTTTCAGATCCATGCAGCTAAGATCTGGAACAATCTCCCTGAAAATGTGAGGGAGGCGTCTACTCTGTCAATGTTCAAATCCAGGTTAAAGACTGTTCTGTTTGCCTGTGCATACAACTGAAGGATTTTATCTCCATTTTTAATGCACTGCTGTCATTTATTTATTTTTTTAAATTTCTTGTGTAATTTTGAAAGTTTTAATGGTTTTATTCTTTTGTGTGATTTTAATGTTTTAATTGTGTTTTAATCTTTTGTGTGATTTTAATGTTTTAATTGTGATTCTGGTGTTTGTTTTATGTGATGATTTGTGATGTGGACTGTGAAGCGCTTTGTGTTGCCATGTGTATGAAAGGCGCTCTACAAATAAACTTTGATTGATTGATTGATGATATTCCAGAACAGGTTAAAGTTTTCAATGAAGCCAAGTCCTCTGCGTGAACACTCATTGAGTAGGAATGTATTTAGCTGATACAGACGGCTAAACTTCTCCATTTTTCCATCTATATTTGGAAGTGGGCCACTAAGAAAAATTGTTATGTCCATTTTCTTGAGGTCATCCAGTAACAGCGTTAAATCCATTCGTAACTTCTCGCTTGCCTTCTCATAGATATCTACCGCCCCCGTGTGGATCAATAATGTACGCACACCACTGTTCTCAGATAACACTTTAGGCAGAAGAGTTCTTATCTCAGCAACTTTTGCAGAGTGAACTGAGACAGTGACCATGGACTCCATGTTTACATTTTTCACCGAACCATCTCCGATAAGGACACAGTTTGTCCTTGGTGGAGGCGCTGCAGTTGTTAGCGGCTTTGTTGTTTCAGAAAGGGGTAAAAAGCGGTTTGAAGTCTTCAGAACATTTAGTTGTGGCCTTATTTCACTCCTATTGTCATTCTTAGCTTTGTCAACTTTGGGTTTAGCTCGACAATTGTTCCAATGATTCTCATTGTTGATTTTGGGAAAAGAAATGACGTCATAACTTACATTTCCAGTCTGTCCATTCATCCCATTTTCACTCATTGGAAGAGTCGGGTTAAGTCCCATTTCTGTTTCCACAATAGATATCCGTGTTTGAAGAGATTTGAGCTGATTTTCCAAAGCACAACAGCCGCCGCAGACGCTTCTCCGTCTCTTTCGTCCCGACATGACTAAAGTTGATAAATTCCACAAAGCTGAAGTGTGTAGAAGGAGTAATCCTCGTTTTGTAAATAAAATGAAACAAAAAAATTTAAATAAAATGATTCAAGGAGATTAAAAGGCGAAGCAAAAGCAGAGCAGAGACACACGACTGCTCTCTTCAAAAGCAGGAAGATCATATCGCTTCCTCTAACTTCTTCCAAGGTCTTCTAACGTGGCTGGTGAAAGTTTGTGTGACAATCTGAAAAAGTGCCAGCTGTTTACATTTCCTCTATATCTGCTCTCTGACATTTCTTCCCAACTTTTCCGCATAAATAATACATTTGTTTGTCCCGACTGAGTTTTGTAAAATGTTGTGAAATACACGGGTTTTTCACAACATTTTACAAAACTCAGCCCGATGCCTTATGAGTAAGCATATTGTGATGTAATCAGTGGGGGCGGGTCCTAGCTCCAAAAGGTCCGTGAGCACGTGCACTGACATCCTTGCAATTTTTCTCAGGGCCGGTGGGGGTGTACCCGCAAAGAGAATTACCCAAAGCTTTTGTATGGCGTCTTCTTTCCTCTTTACAGGATGGTCCTAATGTCGGCTCTTGGCCCAAAGCTATGTTCCAGATGTGTGTCAATGCTCAGTGGAGTATTTTTTCTTAGTTTAGCCTCTGTGGACTTTTGAATGCACTCGTTAAATGAATGGGGCTAGTGCCGGCTAACGCAAGCGCAAGGGTTACAAGTGTGTACAAGTCTCTCCATGGACTCTGTGACGTGTTAGTCCCATATGAACTAGCCCAAACTCTGAGGAGCACAGGGACTGGCCTCCTGCTGGTGCCCAGAGTCAGGACTAAATATGTGGAGGCAGCGTTTCAAATTTATGAGGCAAAAATCTGGGGGCGACAGTAGCTCAGTTGGTAGAGCATTGGCCTTTGGGCCTGGAGGTCGTGAGTTCGATTCCCACCATGGGACCTACTCCAACTGCTCCCACTGATGACTGCTGTCGTTGTGTCCTTGGGCAAGACACTTAACCCCACGTTGCCTGAAGCCCCCCCGCTGAAAGATCAAGGCTGTTTCTCAACTGATGGAGCAGCCATCTTCCTGTGGACTCACCCCCTGCAGAAGATCAGCGAGGGACTGGTGCTATGAGCATTGGGTGGCAGCTCTCATTGCCACCCCCCCAACCCATAAATGGACAAATAAAGGGGTTGAAAATGAAATGAAATGAAAATCTGGAACAGTCATAGTAGTAAGTAAGTTATGTTTATTTATATAGCGCATTTTACAGACCAAGGTTACCCGAAGCGCTTTACAATGTTCAGATATTGTTCCAATCATTCCACACACGGTGATGACAGAAGCGAGTCGCCGAACACACTGGACCATCAGCCCCTAATTAACACCATCCATTCACTCTCTCATTTAGATTCATAACGATTGTGCATGTTTTTAGTGGTAGGGGAAACCGGAGCACCCAGAGGAAAGGAGAGTGCTATCCACTCAGCCACCGTGCCAATACAAGCCTCTTCTCTGACAAAGTTTAAATCCATGTTTCCCAGTGCGCACAACTGAAGGATTTTATCTGTTTTAATGTTTTTAAAAACTTGTGTGATTTTTATTTAAGTTTTTATCATCAAGACTATGGACCAGAGTTTTTTTGAGAGATTCTTTCAAACGATGGCGTTTGCTGAAAACCCGGGTTGAGCTTCCCACTGATGCCTCAGTCATAGTTTGTACTTGACAGGAAAAGTTTAGCATTCTATTTTGAGAAATCCATCTCACTTCCAGTAAAAGTTATCCACGTCTGCATCGTCTCACATGGTGGAAAAAGTGCAGATCTTCTTGGAAAGTGTGAGCGATGCCGACAGTGATTTGTGCACGTCTCTGGCACACTTTTTAGTCTGCGCTGTGCATTTTTCACAAAGAGTAGAGGGCGGTTCTTTCCTAAAATTCGGGAAAATCTTCCTACTGTATAGACCTTTAATGTTTGTTTTAATGACCCGGGGGATTTTAATGTTTACGTTTGATGCCTGATGTGATATGGGCTGTAAAGAACTTTGTGTTACCTTGTGTAGGAAAAGCACACTACAAATAAAGATTCATTGATTGACAGCAAGAAAAAAGTTCAATGCATTTTGTGACATATTTAAATTATGGTTTGAAAGTTAGCTATGAAGAATATGATGGAACTATAGTTACAATTGCATTTAAGAACAGGTCGCTTACAAAATTACCCTCAAACACAAAGCAGCGCTACTTTGCCAAGACAGAATAATGAATGAGTGAGCTCACCGTGGCAGGGGCGAGGTCTGCACTGGCGAACGGTCTCAGGTTTGTCTCCGGAACACTGGTCTCCAAGGCGACAGGTGACCAGGCGGCGCTCCCAACCCTCGCCACACGTCACTGAACACTGCGCCGGAAGAAGAGAAGAAAGGACCACATTTCAACGACTCTCAATGACATACGGAAGATATCACCCACAGATTTCTCTTCTGTTTCTGCATGGACCACTTACAATCAAAAGATGGCCTCCTAAGCATAGAGGTTGGTTTGAATAAGGTGTGAATACAGTCTGAATACAGTCTTAGAATTCTCTAGCAAAGGTGTCGGAGATAAGAAACTTTAAACCTGGAAACGTTTTTCTCAGTTCTTTTCAGGGAGAATTAAATTGTACGGTGCTTTGTATAAACATGTGCGTCACTATAAAGATGCTAATCCACAGGTATTAGCTAGTGCCGATGATCCAGGACACTCTACATTCTACATTCAACAATATTTATGGTTTTTATCAACATTTATGGACATTGATCATCTGCCCCTTTATGGACCAATGGCTCTATGTGTTTTTTATCATTGCATTTCTTGTGTTTGAGCTGTTGGATTCTCAGATCTGCTTTGGCAAATTACTTTGGATTATTTCATTATCATCAAATCTTTAATTTTTTTAGATTGCTGCATTTCGGGTTCTTCCTTCATTTCACCTTGTGTTTGCAATCAACCGACTCTGTGAATAGAATGTCTTGTTGCATGTGTTTGAACAGATGCTTCGATAGATTAACGAATAATACAAGCTAAATCCGCTCCCAGGCGTAACACAGCAATGTCCCCTGGGAAGTCAGAAAATGGCAGGGCCTTGACCCGATATTTGTGATGAACCAATAACACGGAGAGAGAAAAGTCCAATTTAAGGCGGTTATTAGAGGAAGAAGGTTGTGGATTATTCTAAGCAATTCATCTCTTTTACTAATTAAGTTTAGAGTTATAAGTTGCAGTTGTGCTGTTCACGTACAGTAGATCATCTTGTGTTGTGTTTTTGTGTTCTCCTCATTCCTAATGTTTGGTAACTTGTGATGCAACACAAATTCCCGACTGAGGGACGATTAAAGGATCTCTTAATCTCAATCTCACGAAGCCCCAGGGTTTGCACTGATTACAGCAGTCTCTCTCCTCTCAATCTGAACCTATGTTTTTGTCAAGTTTTTGGGGCGCCACCTGCATATGAAAGCCAGATCCTGTTAGAGCTCTGAAGGTAAGCAGGGCAGGGCATGGTTAGAACTGTGATGGGAGACCTCTGGGAACACCAGGTGGCACTGTGGGGCGGATGCGGCTGTAAAGTGCCAAACTGGCATTGTGTTGTTATGCAAGACAGTTCACCAACATTGCCTAGAAGGGCCGATGGCATATACTGGTTGCCCCGCTTCTGTCAATGTGCCCCAGGGCAGCTGTAACTTCAACAGTGCTATCCCACCATTGTGTATGCAGTGAATTAATAATGCCATGTCTTTGAGTGTATATAAAAAAACCAAATAATGTATAGACAAGTCGTGAACAACGATAGATACACTGCAGCCACACAATTTCCCGGTGAAGTTTAGAATATTCAAATAAGAAAGGCTTTAGTCTGAGTCACAGCTGCACATCGCGCTGAGAAACAGCAGATTTAATCTTACTTACAGCTAAAGAAAAACCGAAACAAATGAAGTTTTGCAAAGCGTCCGTTACCTGCGGTGGAGAGAATGAGCAGTATATTGTTCTGCACTACTCAAACAAACAAACACAACGAGAAAACAAAAGCATGGATAAAACTGCAGGGTATTCTACACACAATACCCCTTATTGTTTGCGCATTCAAAATCATGCCATTACCGGATTAACTGCCTGATGAGCAAGCAGGAGGCATGGAGAACTTATTTTTATACAAACCTATAACAATTATGATGACAAAGGCGATGGCCGGTGTGCCCTCAGAGTGTTGTTTTGAAGTCTGTTTGGTTAAAGAGGGACATTGCTAACTGGAACATTTAAGTGTCTCGGTGTTTTCCACGTTTATCCATTTACTTGGTAATTTGGTCTCTCATGCCAACCGTACACAGGCTTCCACTTTGGTCCGGGTTGGATTCAGACCGGGTGGTACACTATGGATTGGAGCTATAGTAAGGAACAATTGTCGTTTACCAAGTAGTTTTCTAAAATATCTAGATCTTATTTAGTTCCATACAAAAACAGTTTCATCCCTCCTTGAGCAAATTCCGTCAAATTTACTGCCAATAACAAAACACGTGGAAGATTGTAACTAGAGGAATACAGCTTTTAGGCTGTTTTGGCAAATGAAAAGTCCCTTTTCCACCGTCTCTACTCTTCTCTATTCAATCCCTTCTTGGAGCATTTCTACTCACCCTGTGTAACCGTGACCAGTACGGTATTCTTTACAAACACATAACTGAGCAAGTTTGATAAATGAGGGAGAATGGGCTCTAAATGTATTGTACATAGTTTGTGTTATATAATCTGTGTTTTATAATGATCTGTAAATGTGATGTATTTTTTATGTCTATGGGACCAGGTCTGCAAATGAGCTGTTAGCTATAAGACCTATTATATGGTTATTTTTTCCAATGCTTCTTCAAAACAGCATGTGCCATTGGGAACCAATTGTTATACTTTTTATACATTAACTCACATTTTACGTAGCCTAAACCGTTTTTCTGTGAATATATCTAACAATTACGTCTAATTAGTGTAGAGTCGATGCACAAAATAGATGCAAAGGTCTGGTGTTTATAATTGTGGCTTGGTTCAAAGGTGACTTAATAGTATGGCTACATTATAGTATTTGTTATACCATTGTTTCAGTCAGGGTAGTGAAGTGTGTGGGCTGTGGCGCAGAGTAGGATGTAGTTTCTGCCTTTTCCCTTTGGTTTTTAATTAATGTGGATGTTGAGCTCCTGATTGCTATAATAAGAAGTTAAAGGTTCTAACACCCTGATTGAAGGAGGCTTGGGTGATTGACAGCTGCACTGTGCCTTATCAGTCCCTCCAGGATTTCGGGGGCAATTATTGTGATTGTTGTGGGCTATAATGCTTGATTTTGCGGGAACGAAATCAAATGAAAAACAAAGTTCTTCCAAAAGTTGGAATTGGCAACTTGCGATTTTTTTGAAAACAGCTTTACAGGATGGTCCAAAAGTCGGCTCTTGGTCCAAGATGTTCGTCAATGCTGAGGGGAGAATATTTTTTGGACCGGTCTAGTTTAGCTGCTGTGGACTTCAGAAGGCACTCTTTAAATGACTGGGGCTGGTGCCGGCAAACGCATGCGCAAATGCGTTTTTTCACATTTTCCTGTGGGAGGGGCTGCCTGCGGCCATTTTGAAAAAGCTCCCTAGAAGCCAAAACTGATGGCACATTAGAGATAGGCGTAACTACGTCCATTAATATGTACAGTCAATGGCTAAAACGGCCACTTACTACTTATATGTTTCTAAGTTTTGCGGAAAGGTTGCAGTGATGAGAAGAAGTTGCAAGGTCGCACTGGTTTGGCTGAGTTTGCTTGATTTTGTGTTAATAGTTGCAATCGTAACGTCGCGAAATCCTGGAGCGACTGCCTTATGGAACAAGTTTATATGAAAACAACCTCCTGGGAATGACTCCAGACCATAACATCAAAAATACACAATATCGAGAAAAAAAAAGTAATAAGGATAGGCTCTCTCCACCCAAAGTCAAATTCGGGCCTAAACGCATTAGTACTATATTGTAAATGTTTCCATTATACGATCAATCAATTCTATCTTATCTTCTCTTATCAATCCAGTGTGTTCTCTATATGAAGCTGGTGTCTTAAAACGCACCTTTTTTAAACCTGGTGCCAGAGGAGAGGAGTTTGAAGCCGTCGTATATGTGTGTCTCTGTGTTTCCGGCAAAAACATAACTTCTTCCATATCGACTTTTGCAAGATCAAGCTCCTCCCTGAGGTTTTTCAATTCCTCCCACTGGGTTTTTGGAGTTTTCTTTGTCGATGCAGTAGGGTCTAAAGACAGTGGTGATGATCCAAGACACACGACATTCAACGTAATTTATGAACTTCATCAACATTTATGCACATTGGACTTTGCCCCTTATGGACCAATGGCTCTATGTGTTTTCTTATCATTGCATTTCTTGTGTCTCAACTGTATTATTCTCGTATCTGTGTTGGCAAATTAACGGTTCTCAGAGAAAAACTACTGCCGTACATTAGGGCTATCAAAAATAAATGGAATTGTCATGAGCCTTGTGTAGGAAAGGCACTCTACAAATAAACGTTGATTGATTTAAAAAGATATTAATACCACACATATGCAAATGTTGTTGGCAGCAACGGCCCAGTTACCAAGCGCCAAGTGCTGCCTACTGGGAGCAGCGCCGGTCTGTCCCCTCTCGCGCTACTCGCAAGCAAAATCCAAATTTGGTGGGAAGGCATCTGATTGATCAGTTCTTAGGGCACATTCACAAAAAAAAAAAAAAATCACAATATAAACACCAGGATAGAGTAATATCCCCATTTTATGTGTTGGAGATACACTTTATCCATGAGTCTATTGGGCTAGTAGGTTATATGCAGTACAGCTACACATTTTCAAATTCAAAACAGTACAAACAATGGGGTAACAATCAGAGAAAGCATTTCAATCCAGGGCTTGGTCTCTGGATTGTGTTTACAGAAGGACTGAAATCATCTCTTCCATTTTATCACCTTTCTGGTCCCTCTGTTCTGAAGCTGGAACGATGTACAGTATGTAAACGTGCATGTGACTGAAAAATTAAAATCTGTTCCGGTAGAAGATGCAGCGCGTGTGAAAGAGGAGAGCAGCCGAGGGAGCTGGATTAAACAAAGGTCAGATGTCCTGTCACGGCTCAGTGCGATGGGAGCCTGGATTCCTGCTTGGCACAAGAGCTGCACAAGAAAGCATTTTGTGTTTTATGAAATAGTTAAATTAATAGAATAGCAAGATTATTTTATAGCCTTGTCTTTATCCTATTTGTATGTGTTTCCTACAGGTATATTGGAGGATTTTCTACTTCCTGGTGGATCATCAAGACTATTGGTCCTCCCAATTGTCAATGATTCTGGTGATACATGCTCGTCAAATAAGACCAAAGATTTTGGTTCAAAAAGTGGAAAAAAATTGGGAAAATCCTCGTATTTACGTTTAACTGTTCATTAAAAGCCGAGCCAGGGATAGTTAAATAATCAACATTATCAACAATATCTAGGGACATTTATACATCTCTATGGACATTGGTCATCTGCCCCTTTTTATTAATACATTTCTTGTGTTTGATTTTATAATCAGCGTTGGGGAATTCAACAGTTTTCAAGGTCCTTTGAGGTGTCTGTTGTGATTTAGGGCTATACAAGAATACATTGAATTGAATTAAATTGAATTATTGAGCACAACTGTAAGTGAAAACCTAAACAGATTGAAAAAGAAATAATCTGGCAATCAGGGAAAGATTTCATTTGGACGAAGCTAAAATCTGCATTGTTCAAATAATTCCATAAATACAGGAACTGACCTCGGCCCAGGCCCCGGTCCTCCACTGGGACGGGCAGGGGCTTCTGTTGCAGGCCCTGCGGCTCTCGGGCTTCTCTCCGCCGCAGTACTTGGTGTGGATGGAGCGATTGTTTCCGTCGGGGAGGTACTGAAGGCAGCGCACCGTCCGGATCTGAAAGCCCAGGCTTCCACACGTCTTGGTACAGTGCTCCCACTCGTCTGACACCCACCTGCACAAAACCATGAGTCATGAACAACAGATGCAAGAGTGTTCCCTCCCTAATCGTACAGTACACACCAGGCATCGCCATCTCTTTGGGGAGAGCAGATTCAGATTCACTTTATTGCCCATACAACAATAAAAAAGTCTTCTTCTGCTACTGGACACCTGAATTTCTCCTACGGGGGATCAAAAAAGTATCTATCTATCTATCTATTAGCAGTAAAACCACAGAGGAATATTGGAATGTGCTCCAGTACCACAGCGTGCACCAGACACGTACACAAACAAAACACATCAGAAAAGTAGCACGTTCAAACACTGCAACACATGATTACAAATAAATGAACAAACATTTGAAATCTGTATTTTCTGAAATTCAAGATTTGATTCATCGTCATCGTCACAGATTGAAGAAATAAAAAAAATCAGGATCATGTTGTAGTGGTCAGAGAATGAAAAGCCTCAAACAACCATCGGTCCTTCTAAATACAAATTTGTTATCTCCCCTTGAAACCTCATTACATCACTGCAGTTGATTAAAGCTGCGTTACCTGACTTTATTTCTGTATTCATTACGAAAATTAAATTCATATCCATGTAGTGCATTGGGATATACGTCCTTTTGAAGTATAAGTAGCGCAGGTTTGTGCTGGCGTGTCATTTTATCTTAGATCGAGTTTTGGTGAAACAAGAAAGAGAATGTGTTTCGGGACCAGATTGTGACCAATCACAGCGGACCACTGGCCCCCACTTTCTTGAGAAAAAGCCACAGGTCTCTCGTTAGCACACACAGCTGAGGTAAACAAGCGGCGGAGGCTAACCTGAAGCTTCCCGTGTCTTCGTTACCGGTTTCTGCTTACACAGCAAAACATCCAAAAGAAAGTCTTGTTCCTCAAAGTCAGTTAGTGCATCTTTAATCATTGCTTATTAGTGTCATTTAATATTGAATTTGAAAGTAAAGCACTATCCTGTCCATGTGAGAAACTAGTTACTTTTGTAATATATCACAGGGAATTGGTGAAATGTATCTCTTTGTTTTCACTTTAACATGTATGGACATTTTTTTTAACATGTGTTCTTCTTTATGTGTGTTAATTGTTAGTTACCTATTGTAACTGTAGTTCTACGAATAGTGCGTAGCCCCTTAGGCTCGCTTTGGGTATGACTCCAGAAGCACCAGCTTCCCGCCAGAGAGAACTCAATGCTCCAATCACTGTGCAGAACCTCCTATAAATAGCCCACAGCAGTCCATGCTCTTCACTTTGAACTCGCCAAAGCCAGGTTGGACTGATGGGCCCGTAGCTAAGGGGCTACGCACTATTCGTAGAACTACAGTTAAAATAGGTAACTAACAATTCTACTTCATAGTGCTACGCCCCTTAGGCTCGCTTTGGGTAACGAAGCGTAGCCTAAGAGTATGTACTCCCATCAGGCCAGCTAGCAGTGATTGGAGCCCTGCCGAGTAGGCCCTAACACCTCCAAGGTGTGGGAACTCAAGACAGACAGGGAATGAGCAGTGATGGGGCCGCTCCTATCAAGGACGCCCAAGGATAAGCTCAAAGGTGAAGCAGTGGTAGGGCCGCTCCTATCAAGGACGCCCGAAGCACTAACAGAATCCAAGAGGGAGGCCGTTCCAGGAACAGCCAAGTCTCTGACCAAACGCCCAAGGGCGAAGGTCACTTCCCAGGACGCCTCTATCAAGAGCTCCTGAGGAACACCGCGCGCGCCCCCGTAGGGGAACAAGGAACAGTCCCAGGCCGCCTCTACCAAGAGCACCTGAGGACTGCACAAAGCCGCAAAGGAAGAAGGAGAAGGCTGAGCCCAGGACGCCTCTATCAAGAGCTCCAGGAGGGGCCGGCCGCTCCAGACAACATAGACCGCAGAAGCCTCAGAGAGAGCCAGACACGGTCGCATCAGTCCCAGAGCTCAGGATGGAGTGAGCAACCGACCGCTCTGAAACATCCACCAGGTAAGACAGAGCAAAGGTGGAAGACGAAGCCCAGGACGCAGCCTGGCATACCTCCTCCACCGAGGCCCCTCGTAGCAGAGCTGTGGAGGCCGCCACGCCCCGAGTGGAGTGCGCTCGGAACCCCACCGGGGGCACCATCCCCTGGGCCTGATACGCCGAGCGAATCGCCCGGGACACCCAGTGGGCCAGCCGCTGGGAGGATAACGGGGCGCCTCTGTTTTTAGGCCCCAAGCACACGAACAGCTGATCCGTGCGCCTGAAAGAGGACGTGACCTCCAGGTAATGCCTCAGCATCCTGATAGGGCACAACAGGTGTCTTTGCTCATCCTCCTGCGAGGCGTGAGGCGGAGGGTGAAAAGGTCTGATCCGTATGACCCTGGACCTGAAGGTTGAGGAAACGACCTTGGGGAGAAAGGCCGGGTTGGGCCACAACTCCACCAACCCATCCCCCGGACCAAAGGACAGGCAGGCCGGGCTGATGGAAAGAGCGCACAGTTCTCCCGCCCTCTTGGTTGATACCAGAGCCAATAAGAGTGCGGTCTTGAAGGCCACGCATTCTGGGCTGGCACGGGTCAGGGGTTTGAAAGGAGGACCTGACAGCCCTTTCAAAACCACCTTGAGGTCCCAGATCGGAGGTGTTTGTCTAAGGACCGGCCTCTTCCTGTAGGCCCCCCGAAGGAAGCGTTTGATTAACGGGTGGGAGCGGGCTGAAAACCCCCCGAACCCTTCGTGACCAGAGGCAATGGCCGAAGCGGACACAGCCAAGGTACTAGCGGCCCTGCCCTTATCCAAAAGGTCCTGCAGGAATCCCAGGACGCCCTCTAGAGGGCAAGACCTGGGGTCCCACGAGTGGGCCGCGCACCAGTCTTTGAAAAGCTTCCACCGGCACCCGTAAGCCCTCACGGTGGAAGGTGCCCTCGCCCCTTGGATGGTATCCACCACCGCCCGGGGGAGGCCTAGTCGGACTAGGTTCTGCCTCTCAGCTTCCAAACCCAGAGCCTGTGGCCCAGGACTGGGCGGGAGCGAAGCGTCCCCCCTCCCTGGACCAGGCCCCCTGGCACGTCCGGGAGAGGCCACTGGTCCATCACAGACATGTTGGTCAGGAACGGGAACCAACGGGCCTGTGGTCGGTCTGGGGCGACCAGGATTACCTCCCGCTCTTCCTGCTCGATCCTCCTCAGTAGGATCGGTAGGAGACGAGGGGGGGGGAAGGCGTACAACAGGCCCCCTGGCCACGGATAATGAGCCAAGGCATCCACCCCTAGAGGCGGATTGTCCGTGGGTCTCAGTGCGAACCAGAGCGGGCATTGCGCGTTGTCTGCACTGGCGAACAGGTCGACCACAGGCCGACCAAACCTCTGCCAGACCTCCGCTGCCATCTGCGGGTCGAGGCCCCACTCGTCCTCGAGAGGGCCTCCCCGTGACATTATGTCCGCCCCTGTGTTCCTGTCTCCCGGAACATGACGCGCTCTCAGAGACTGCAGATGCCCTGCAGCCCAGATCAGAATGGTCGCTGCCAGTCGGTGGAGGGCTGGGGACCTCGTGCCCCCCTGCCGGTTCAGATACGCCACCACTGTGGTGTTGTCTGAGCGCACCATCACGTGTCTCCCCGCTAGTTGTGGAGCGAAATGCAGAAGCACCCTGTGAACCGCCTCCATCTCCAGCAGATTGATGTGACGAAGAGGGCCTGACCAGGCGCCCCCCACAGAGCTCTGGTGCAGAACCCCCCCCCATCCCTCCAGAGACGCGTCCGTGAACACCTCCACGTGTGCCACGGCACCTACCAGGGGAACTCCTTCCAGCATCAGACCGGGCGTGAGCCAGTAGCTCAGGTCCTCGGCCACTCCTGGAGGAACAATGAGCCTTCTGCCCCCGTCTCTTGTGGGATGTAGTCGGAGACGGGAGAATCACCTCTGGAAATGTCTCAAGTGAAGGAGACCTAGCCGCACCACTGCATGAGCTGATGCCATCATCCCCAATAGAGACCGTATTCGTCGGGCGGTCACTGTGGGAGAGGTCAGCGCTTCCTGAGCTAGACGCGTGATGCTCGAGCGTCTGTCCTGGGAGAGCGCTGCCCGAAACTCCACCGAGTCTAGCTGTAGACCTAGATAGACTAAGCGCTGTGCGGGTTGCAGATTGCTCTTTTCCCTGTTCACCACAAAGCCTAGGCGCTGCACGTGTGACAGGACCCAGTGCGTGTGAATGGTGGCCTGCTCCAGAGACGGGGCCAGAATCAGCCAGTCGTCTATATATGTCAGGATTCTGATCCCTGCGCGTCTGAGTGGTTCCAGCGCCGCCTCCACGCACTTGGAGAAGGTGCGTGGGGCCAGAGCGTAACCGAAGGGGAGGCGACAGTACTCGTAACACTTCCCTCCCACGGTGAAGCGCAGGAAGCGTCTGTGCTCCGGTACTATGGCAACGTGGAAGTAAGCGTCCGTCAGGTCTATGGTTGACATCCAGTCCCCGGGCCTGACGCACTCTAACAGATGTTTTGTGGAAAGCATCCGAAAGGGCCGTTTGGAAATGCACTGGTTCAGAGTGCGCAGATCCAATATAGGGCGCACCCCCCCTGATTTCTTGGGGACCAGGAAATACGGGGAGTACAGGCCTCTGGAGGCGTCCCGAGGGTCCACCAGGACCGCGGCGCCTCTGCGTAACAGGGAGGCGACCTCCATTTGGAGAGCCTCTTCTGTCTCCCGATCTGTAGGGCGCACCGCACGAATGCCCTGGAACGGCGGTGGTCTCCGTGCGAACTGCAGAGCGTAGCCCCTGCGCATCGTTTTCTTTAACCAGGGGTCTGACAGTAGACCGAGCTCTTCCCAGACCCGAAACTGCTCTGTGAGGGGAAGGAGAGGACCCGGAGCACCTGGTGTAATAGCCCCCCACTCTCCCTGCGCTCCCAGCGGAGAGGGGGGGGCATCGGAAGGGCCGAAACACCTCATGAGATGTGCTGTGTGAGGAGGTTGGGACCAGGCCCCCTGACTCACTTATAGACAGCGGTAATCTGCGTTTCACTCCCCGCCCAGAGGATGAAATGA